TGCTGCCTGGCCTGCTGTGTTCCTCCAGCTCCACAGTGCAGCAAATGTTGGTTGCTCAAGGAGCTTTGGCTCAGAGTTGAGGAGCCTGTGCCTGAATTGTAGACACTGACAGATCAGGGAGGGGGAAGAGGTAGCTGGACACTTGTTTCAGGCAGCAGTCAAACTCCTTACATTCATTACATCAAATTTGGTCCATGGTCAGGGACAGCAAGGTGTGACTGCAGGTAAGGCAGGAATGGGTATCCAGAATTTAACTTTTACAGGAGTCTCATCCAGAGCAGTGAAGAGGAGAATGATAATGTGTGACAGGACGTGACAGAAATTATATGCAGAGGGCTGCAGCAGAAATTAGAAGCAGACAGAGTACTAATAATAAAAAGTCAAAACTTAAGGTTCTTTACCCAAATGCACTCAGCATTTGTGACCAGATCAATGAGTTGACAGCACGAGTAGAAATAAATAAATGTGGCTTGATAGCAATTATGGAGGGGAGTTTGCGGGATGACTGGGAAAACTCAATATTCAAGGATATTTGACATTCCAGAAGAACAGGCAAAAAGAAAAAGGAGGTGGCGTAGCTTTGTTATTTAAAGATGATATCGGTGCAGTGGTAGCAATAGGTGCAACAGGTCGGGATGCGGAAACAGTTTTGGTGGAAACAAGGAATAATAACGGAAGGAAGTCACAGGTTGAAATCGGCTACAGGGCCCTAAAGAGTTGCCACACTGCAGGACAAAGAATAAGTCAGGGAATAATGGAGACAAGCAAGAAGGGCACACAACTGTCGTGGATGATCTTAATCTACGTCCTAACCACACAAATCAGAAGTGCAAGGGTAACACAAATTTGTTGAGTACGTCAGGGTTTGCTTCTTAGAGCAGTATGTTGCAGAACCTACCTAGAACAGGTTATTTTAGACCTAGCAATGTGTAATGAGAAAGGATTGCACAGAGATCTTGTACTTAAAAGGGTCTTCTAGATAGCAGTGTGATGGTAGAATTTCAAATTCAGTTTTAGCAAGAGCAACTCAGGTCTCAAACTGGCTGACTGAACTCAAGTAAAAGCCATTACAAATACAGGAAGAAAGTTGTGTAACAAGGGATTGGAAAATGGACCAAAAGGAAGGTTAGTTGTTGAGCAGTGGTAGGTATTTAATAACAAGGGTCAGCAAAAACTGTATTCTGGTCCAAAAGGACTCAATGAGGAGGATAAACCATGTAAAGGCTGTCAAGGAGACCATGTAATCAAAAGGTAAGGCAAGAAAAGTGGCAAAAATGTGTGAGTGGTAGGCCAGAGGATTGAGAAGTTTATTTAGGAACCAGCACTGGATGACTAAGTAGTTAAAAGAAAGAAGAAAATTGATTACGAAAACAAATTAGCAAAAAAAAAAACAGTAAGGGCTTTTACAGGTATAAAGGAAGAGTAGCCAAAGTAAGTGTGGGACCCTTGAACAATGCAACTAGGGAACTGATAACAGGGAAATAACAGACAATTTAAATCAACATTTTGCATCAATTTTCATGGGAGAGGATACTAAAAACAAGCAACTTTTGTTTTTGTTCCTGTTCCTGATTTACAGCATCTGCAGTTCTTTCGGTTTTTACAAGGAGAGTTGTGTTTACAAGGAATTCTCCCACAGGGCACTGGACGTCTGGAATTTACTACCCCAGATACTGGGGGTTAAATCACTGGAAGTATTTAAAGAGGAGGGAGATAGACTTTTGAAATATCAAGGAAAGCTAAGGGTTACGAGGAGTTGACGTCTGAGGCAGATCAGTCATGATCTTGGAGCAGGCGTAAGGAGAGATAGCCTCTTCCTACTCCTATTTCTTATGTTCTGGGATCCAAGGAATGGAAACATTCCTGTATCTGGCCTTACCTCAGCAGCTCCCGATTGGATAAAGTTAGCTTCCCCATTTTAGCCTCAATTATAATTACAGTGAGGAATTCAGTGCAAAAAAACTTTGTTGAAATTTAAGTGAAAACCTAAGGACCTCAGTCAAACAGCAGTAAAATCAAAAGAGGCAGAAAGCTAAAGTGGGAAAATAATCAAACCTGGCACATACCCATAACATCACCTTCATCCTAAATGAAACAAAGTCCAAGAGACAAAACCTCAGCACCAAAGTTCAACGTGTTCCTTTCTTACGACCCTACAACAACATCCCTGTGCTTCAATTTTGACAATGACTCTGTTCAACAACCATTTTTAATATCTCTCCTCATATTCTCCTGCAGGAATACAGAACTTAGAGGCACATCTTGAGACAATAACCTCCAAAAGTTTTAATGCTACATTTGGATGTGGACATGACCTATGTTTGATAATCCCAATTTGTCTCCTAAAGCAGGATTTACTTTAATGTTGAAATGAACGACCTTAAAGATTTGAAAAAGTGTGTCATTTCGAACTTGGTAGATGGACATTGCTTGATCAAATGCAGCTCTACAATGTTGTAGGTGTGTGGTTGTTAACAGTGCTGGTGTGCAATGACCAATTTACCACAGAATTATCACAGAATTGTTACAGCATGGAAGGAAGCCATTCAGGCCATCGCGTGCTTGCACCAGCTCTGCTTTTGCCCCATATGCTGCACATCATTTCTAAAACTGCCCAGTACATGATAATGGGAAAGTTTCACACATAGCAACAACACGGGCTGCTTAGGTCAGATGTTCATATTTTTAAATCTGAACTCCAACTTCAAAACAACTACATTGGAGTCAGTTTCCAACGGCATGGGACCAACCTAGTCATAGGGAGTCACAGAATTTTTAGAATCACAGAATCCCTACAGTGCAGAAAGATGTCATTCGGCCCATCGAGTCTGCACCAACCCTCCAAAGAGCATCCTACCCAGACCCAGTCCCCTAACCTCTCTCTGTAATCATGCATTTCTTGTGACTAATCCACCGAGCCTGCACATTCCTGGATACTACGAGCCATTTAGCATGCCCAATCCACCTAACCTGCACATCTTTGGACTGTGGGAGGAAACCAGAGCACCCGGAGGAAACCCACGCAGACACAGGGAGAATGTGCAAACTCCACACAGTCGCCCGAAGGTGGAATCGAACCCGAGTCCCTGGGCGTTTGAGAGGCAGCAGGGCTCACCAGTGGGTCATTGTTCTGTAAAGGCAGCAGAGAGGCCTTTTGACCCATCATGTCCATGCTGGTCATCAAACATTGGTCGATTCTAATCTCATTTCCCAGCACTTGGCCCATAGCGTTGTATTCTATGGCTTTTCAAGTGCTCATCTAAAAAGCCCTTAAATGTCCTGGGGCTTCTCTCCCTCAATTACTCTTTCAGGCAGCGAGCTCCAGCACCTTCTGTGGGAAAAAGAACTCCTGCTCCTTAAAACTGTGCCCCTGGTTCCTAACCTTCTAAGGTTGATCCAGCCTGTCTATGCCGTTCAGAACTTTGTGTATCTCGATCAAGTCCCCGCTCAGCCTTCTCTGCTCTAAAGAAAACAAGCCCAGCCTCTCTAATCTCTCTCCATGGCTGAATCGCTCCATCCCAGGCAACGTCCTGGTCAAACTCCTCTGCACCCCCTCCAGTGCGATCACATCCTTCCTATAGTACGGTGATCAGACCTGCACACAGGTCCTCCAGCTGACAGGTGGGTTGGAAATTTAAATATTTTGCATTTTAATTATTTTAAAAGGAGACTGCCAGTCTGAGCGACTTAACTGAATTTACAGAATTAAACGTTAGTGCTTTGGTTTTTCAGGTGCTGGGACAGAAGGTGGTGTGTGGGGGTTAGTTCAATTTATAAAAAAATATTAATATCTGACCCAAACTCTCACCAGCTGTTACTACGTGTGAAATCCCTTCCACTGTATTGTGCAGGATGATGCTGGACAATGATCTGATCATAATTTTGCAAAGAAAGAGCAGCTACTCCCCAGACTCAGAAAGACAGCAGTAATGGCCATCCAGAAGCCATACAATGTGGAGTATTTAGGTTCAACAAACACAGACAGCTATACTGGTAAAAACAAAATATATTTACCAGGATGTTGCCTGGTATGGAGGGAAGGTCTTATGAAGAAAGGCTGAGGGACTTGAGGCTGTTTTTGTTAGAGAGAAGGTGGTTAAGAGGTGACTTAATAGAGACATACAAGATGATCAGAGGATTAGATAGGGTGGACAGTGGGAGCTAGCACGAGGGGACATAGCTTTAAATTGAGGGGTGATAGATATAGGACAGATGTCAGAGGTAGGTTCTTTACTCCGAGTACTAAGGGCGTGGAATGCCCTGCCTGCAAAAGTAGTAGACTCGCCCACTTTAAGGGCATTTAAATGGTCATTGGATAAACATATGGATGATAATGGAATAGTTTAGGTTAGATGGGCTTCAGATTGGTTTCACAGGTCGGCGCAACATCGAGGGCCGAAGGGCCTGTACTGTGCTGTAATGTTCTATGTTCTATTGTCTTCAATAAAACCATAACTGTAGCAGTAGTGATCTTGTTGTATTTCTCAATTGACCTCAAGTCACAATTTTCTACACAAACTTAGCATGGCCGTTTTAATTGCATCTTGCCTTCAATAGCGAACACACATTCCCACATGCTCTGCTAAAACCTGGACTCCTAGACCAAGACAAATCAAAGTTAAGATCAGAGACTCACAAAACTATGGAGCCCCAGACACCACCCCCGCCACAAACCAAGCAGCTTGTTGTCAGAATCAACTTCACATGAAAGTCACTCCACAATGCCTTTTAAAATCAGTAACAACATCCTGAACAATACCATCCGTAAGCTACCCCCAAGGGACAAGTGCTCAAAAGCTGCCTGCCTTGTTGGACCCCAAATATCCTGAAAACAAGTCCCCCCACTGTGATCCCTAACCCTGGTAAAGCCCCAAGCAGCTGACATGCCGTACACTTGTTCATTATCTGTGTCTGGTTTCTTCTCCTCCTTAGGAACTTTCTGTCTACAAAAAGAAAACATAAATTTCAAATTAACAAAACATATAATGGAAAACAAAAATACACACTTCTCTGAAAGAAAGATTGTCTGCAATAGCGCACGCTTTGAGATGAAAACGAGTAGTTTAAAATAAAACTGTGTCTATTACACAGTAGTCAAGTTGCCGATTATAAACTCAAGCTTTGAATGCTGCACACCCTCTGCTTCTGTGTTTTTTCAAAAATTCTGTCGGAACTTGTACCTGCCGCTTTGTTCTCTAACACTTATTCAATATTTTACATTTTGCTGAACTTCCCAGCTCCACCATCCTGCTCCTTTGAGATGTGAAGCTAATTCTTCAAGTTTACAATTCCAAAGTCTCCTCACCCACATAAAACTAGTTCCTCCTAAATTGGGAGCAAATGTTTGCATTACCAAGAAGACGTATTATATTCCAACAGCCATCAAGCAGGCTTTATGCTACTTCATTCATGTTTTAGCCGACGTGATCACAGATTCACTGAACTGTCACTGTGCAGGTGGCGGCCATTCGGCCCATCATGCATGTACCAGCTCATTAGTGAGCAATTTACCTGGTGTCAATCTCCTGCTTTTTCCCCGTAACCCTGCATGTTATTTTTATCCAAACAATCATCCAGTGTCTTCTTGAATGCCTTAACTGAACCTGCCTCCACCACAACTCCAGCCAGCTCATTCCAGATCAAAACGGCACACTGAGTGAGAAAAAAAAAGTTTTCATTTCACCTTGCTTCATTTGCACATCACCTTAAATCCATGCCTGCTCATTCTTAATCCTTTCATAAATGGGAACAGTTTCTCTCTACTTGTTCTATCCAGCCCACTTGGGACTTTAATAATTCTCTCATGGGATGTGGGCATCATTGGCTGGGCCAGCATTTATTACCAATCCCCGTTTGCCCTCGTTTAAGTGGTGGTGAGCTGCCTTCTTGAACTGATGCAGTCCATGTGCTGAGGGTTGACCCACAATGCCTTTAGGGAGGAAATTCCAGAATTTTGACCCAGCAAAGGAATGGCGATACATTTCCAAATCAGGACGGTAAACGGCTTGGACGGGAACTTGCAGGGGGTGGTGTTCCCATGCACTTGCTGTCCTTATCCCTCCAGATGGAAGTCGTCTTCATTTTGGAAGCTGCTGTCTGAGGATATTTGGTGAATTCCGCGGTGCAACTTGTACTGAGTGTCGGTAGTGGAGGGAATGAATGTTTGTGGATGTGGTACCAATCAAATGGGGGCTGCTTTGTCCTGGATGGTGTCAAGCTTCTTGAATGTTGTTGGGGCTGCACTCATCCAGGCAAGTGGGGAGTATTCCATCACACTCCTGACTTGTGCCTTGTAGATGGTGGACAGGCTTTGGGGAGTTACTCACCACAGTATTCCTAGCCTCTGACCTGCTCTTGTCGTCAATGTATTCATACAGCAAGTTCAGTTGAGTTTCTGGTCAATGGTAACCCCATGGTGGTTCAGTGGTTAGCACTGCTGGCTCACAGCGCCAGGGACCCGGGTTCAATTCCACCCTCGGGCGACTGTCTGTGTGGAGTTTGCACATTCTCCTTGTGTCTGCGTGGGTTTCCTCCGGGTGCTCCAGTTTCCTCCCACAGTCCAAAGACATGCAGGCTAGGTGGACTGGCCGTGCTAAATTGCCTGTAGTGTAGAGGGATGTGTGGCTTAGGTGGGGTATAGGGGAATGGGTCTGGGTGGGATGCTCTGAGGGTTGGTGTGGAGCTGTTGGGCCGAAGGACCTGTTTCCACACTGTGGGTATTCCATGATTACGATTTAAAAATTTGGCCCTTGTTTTGAACTCCTCCACCCTAGGGAAAAGACCCTTTCTATTCACCAGCGTATGCTAAGAATAATTTTACTCGAGGAGTATTTGGTTTTACTTAGATGCCCAGTTTAAAAATCAGAATTTTGTGTGACAGTGTCTAGTTGGATCAAAAACTGATGGGAATCCTTATCCTGTTCACACATTTAGTAAAATCAAACAACTTGTTTTTGAAGTGAAACCCACATCAGTGCCTAACAACGTATTCATTCCTCGGATTTACAATTGTTTTTCGAAGAGGGTGGGAGACCTAGCTGTTTGGCATACAGTGACACTTTAATATACAACTGGAGGAGTGCTGGACAGATCAATCTCCTTTCAATTCAGATGTTAAATCAAGACTCAGCCTGCCCTCTCAGGTTGGCATATAATAACATTATTCAAAGAGTAGCAAGGGCATCCAACCAATTCTTAACACTTTGCTAAGATCACAAAACAGATTACCTGATCATTGTCACGTTGGTATCTGTGGGAGTTTCCAACATCACAAAAATCCAACTTCAAAAGCCATTTCACTGGCTGTAAATCATTTTACCACTTCCTAGGATCGCAGGATTAGGCACTACATAAATGCAAGTATTACACGAACGCATGTTAAATTGTCCTGAGTCTGGTTAACAGCACAGAGAATCATCTATACAGATAAGGAAGTCATGACCATTCTATTCCTGCTGTACTGACCATTAAAAGTAATTTCTAATGTAGATTTCAGGGTAATACAGCCTGGTTATCTCCAATAATCAGCAGTAAATTATCCTACAGTCTCCCCTCAGGTCCCAGGGTTTACAAGGTGGTGATGAAGGTGTGGATGACCCTCGGGGCAATCCCGCAGCCACTGATCACGATGGAGGCCAGCCGCTGTGGTGGGGGGGGGGGGGGGGGGGGTGGTGGTGTGCGGGTAGACAGGAGTCACAACAGACAAAAAGGAGAACCAAGGGTTTCTGGAGACGCTGGGAGAAGGATTCAGAAGGCCCAGAGTAAAAGCTTTCTAGAACCAGTGCGTCCCACTTCCTTATTACTCCCAGATTTCCTGAGCCTTGAAGAATACCTGGCAACAAAATTTAAATTTCAGTCAACCTGCCAACCAATCAGCACTCTCCTCTCAATGTATAAATATTGCTCTTTACCCCCTTATTGGGTATTCTTGCAAATTGTCCAGACGAGGGCAATGCAAACACCTTCAGCAAAACATGCCTTTTTTAAGCAATGCTCAAATTGTGTGCTAACATGTCAATTTGAATCTAAATACTTTAACTGCCCTCGCCTCTACAATCAGAACACAAGGATGGCTTGAAACATCCACCATGTGTGTTCCCCAACTTTGGGGCTTAGCTAAAATTGCACCAGGAATGAGGGGCCTCAGTTCTGTCAAGGGATTAAACAAGATAGGAGTGTTCATCTTACAGCAGTGGAACTTAACAGGAGAGCTGATAAAGACGTTCAAAGTGCAGGAAGTGGCCTCTTGATGGACCAAAGAGGGAGAAATTATTTCCTGTCGCATGGGGATCATTATCCAGAAGCCACGGGCTCAAAATAATTGGAAGCAAAACCAGATGTGAAATAAGCAAACATTTTTCTCATTGTGGGTGCAATTTTGAGAGTTTTTTTTCCTAAATGTGGCTGTGAGTACATTAACAGGAAATTAACATTTCCCCCTCCCCTCAGCAAGATAACTCAGAAATTAAAACAAAAAGAACTGCAGGCGCTGATGATCTGAAGCAAAAACAGAAATCGCTGGAGAAACTCAACAGGTCTGGCATCTGCAGACAGAAAACCGAGTCAACGTTTCAGGTCCGGTGACTTTTCTTCAGGACCATTCGTAAGAGTCACTAGAGCTGAAACATTGACTGCTTTCTCTATACAAATGCTGGCAGAGCTGCCAAGTTTCTCCAGTAATTTCTGTTTTAGTTGGCAAGATAACCCAATTGGGTGCCCACCAATTAGCCCATTGAGAGCTGACAGATGAACTTGGGTGAGTTTCTTGTCCTATTGCAGACTTGGCATTGGTCTCCCAGGTTGCCAGAAGGTGTTGGCCTATCACAGGCCATTAGCTTCTGGATCTTAATACCGGTCGGTCAAGGCCTACTCCTCAGGGCAAGTGGCAAGTCATTTTTGCCTCACTTCTGTGGGTAAAGAGGGATTGGAAGCAAGGGACAGGGGAGGTTTTTGTTTCTGAAGAGGCCAACTTCACTGGTGCTCCGCTGTCCATGCCTCCGGCTGTATCTAGGCTGGGGCAATTAGAGGCTGCCTCAAACCCACTAAGAAGGTTGTCACAGTTGGAAAACTAGACAACTTTCTCTGCCACCGTGTCATTTTATTTCAAGCTTTTTAAAATTATGAACTGTGATGAAAAAAAGAACAGTGTTTTGAAACCCAGAGATTTAAAAAAGGATGGATGCATGTTTTGAAAGAAAGGAATTTGATTCTTTTTGTGAACCGCATTTGTGAAGCTGTGAATTCCTGCAACGTGCAGACGAACTGGAGCTGAGAAATTGCTTACAAGTGGAGCTGGTTTGTGGACTAGGGGCCAATTACCAAGAACAAAAATCCTCTGCCTGCCAGTAACATGATTGGCTGTCAGTTAATGGAACAGTGTGAGCTGTGAGCAAAACAGAAAGCAGGACAGACTCATTGAGGAGACACATGATTGGGGAGGACCTTAAGCAGCCATTAACTAAGGGCCTTAGTTAGTGGTGAGTCATAAAATTCACCAATGGACCTTCTCACCCACACTTAATGGCTGAGGTAGTCAGAAGGAAGTAAGTTTCTCTCCAGGACCAATGCGCCGAATTATTTTCCCCTTCTTGACACCTCTAGGGATGGGAAAATTATGCCCTGATTATTGTTGAGATCCGGAAGGTTCTATCTTGAGGGATGGTACAACCAAATACAAAGGGGACTTCAATAAGGCCACTCAATATTTACTTCAAGGACACTAATTTGCAGAGTCATGGGAAATTAGGTGATGTTGCAAGACCAAACTGGACAAAGAGTAGCACAGGAACACAGTGGGCCAAAAGGCCTCTATAGGTGCTGCAGCATTCTAACTGTTCCACCTTCTATAAACCAATAAGCCCAGAGCTCCCGTCTACACCATGCTGTGAAAGTATACATTGCGACAGCGACTCAGACTCGCTGAGTGAGCTGTAACACACCACCATAGGAGAATGGAAGAATCCCACACAGCCTGCTTTCCCTTCAAATCGAAGCATTCCTCCAAACCCTCAAATTATTTGCTGTACCACACTTATACATGACGCTTATCCCTCAACAGCCTCATCTCTGTAATCTCTCCCAGTCCCACAATCTCCCTAGACGTCTGTGTTCCTCTAATCCTCAGACTCCAAACATCCCAACTGTAACCACCACTGGAGACCGCACCTTCAACTGCCACAGCCTTAAGCTCTGGAAACAGAGTCCGAAACCTCTCCACCTTTCTTTCCTTCTTTAAGGGGCTCCTTGAAAACTTAAGAAATAAGAGAAGTGGCCCATTCAGTCCCTTTTAGCCTGCTCTTCCATCCAATGAAACACTCAACAACCTTTGCCTGGGTTATTTCCACCTATGCCCGGTCATAAAACCACCTCATTAACCAAGCTTTTGATCATCAACGCTAATTATGTGGCTCAGTAGCATATTTTGTTTTATGGAATGCTTTCAGACCTTCTACTATGTCCAACACATTTTATAAATACAGTTTTTTGTTCGCAGATGTACATTACAACATTGCACATACTATGCACCCAACCCCACCCTGTACACCATAAGCAGCTTAACTCATAACTACACATTAATCTCCAAGTTAGCTTCCTTTTGTTTGCCCCAGCTGTATCATGTTTTAGAATGGTGAGTTGGGTGTCCTATAAAGTTCCATTTTCAAGTCAATGTGTCCTCTGTCTGAAGGCTCATTGTCTGCTGATGCTTCGTTCTGAGTAGTTCTCATCAGCAGTGGTTGGCCAGTGCCTTCGACTCTCACGGGCAGGGCACGGAGCCAGGTCCAAGACAACCCCAGCTGGAATGGGAACCAACCTGCACTGTTGGCATTGGGAACCCTATCTAGCCAGCTGAGCTATCTAGCCCCACTTCACCATGAAGTTACAGGCAGCCAAACAGATTTGGTTGAACGTAAATCCATTTGTAAATGTCAACACATAAAAAAGTACATTTAACAAAAAGATGCAAGAATAAGAAGAAATTTAAACGTACCAGCACATTCACACATATTAGTAATCAGAAGAAAATGAACACAAGTAAAAGTCCACTTCACTGTCATTGTAGACCTCAACGTGCAACTACTGGGGATTCACACTTTAAGGAATTAGATCTTTAAAGCAATTTGTGAAATGGTAGTTTCTTGAACAACTCAGATCCTGAATCCAAAGCCTTGTTCCTGGTTTCATTTAAAAGAAGAAATTTCCCAATAGGAGTTCTCTTTCAGAACAGATCCAAATAAACAAATTCTGATTTTTTAAGAAACTCTCTGTTTTTGATTTCATGTCTTCATTTTTCTTTAACTGGGGAGAGTGAGAAAAGGTGAGTGTTGATTCTATCATCCAGCAAACTGCCTGGGTTGTCTTTCTGAGGCTACCAGCTTCAGGAGAGGCTAGGCATGCCCAACGGAAATTAATGCAGTTCCATCATACTGTCTGAGTCAGTATCTGGCTCAAGTACCTCAGTGAACACCAACAACCAAAATCACAACAAAAAAGTACATTTTATGCCATTTTAGTTGAAAACAGTGGATCATTATCGAAAGATATTCCATTGGTTCGATCCCTCTTTCTAACGAAAGAGTGCTGAAGGTGAGATTCCTTCAAAAACATAAATCCTGATGCTAAGATCCTTCCGCACAAAAATCAAAATAGATGGCAGCGCGACCTTTGCAAACAACCTTTCTTCGGCAGTAACCAATTATCACAAGTGAAAGAGCAGCAAAGTAAATAACCAAGCAAAGCAAATGATTAATGGAAATGAAACAGCGGAGATAATTAAAATAAGCCTAAACGTATGCAAATTGCAAATCTTTTAATCAACCCTGTGCCATGGGAGCAGGCTGCATGTCAGAGCTACACAGGTGGGGAAAGGCCACGCCATTTCGGCAGTCACTTACTCCTCGGGCAGGAAGTCTATGGCTCGCGTTCTGTCAGCAGTAGATAACTGGGACATAGTGTGACTTCGGCGTTTGGTGAAACCAGAAGAGCCGTAGGTGTTGGGAGCAGCATAATGAAGGACCGGGGGCCTCTTGGCTGGCTGAGCAGTAGAAGAGGAGCTGAAGAGACGGCTGAAGCTGGAGGAAATTATAACAAAGTGAGTAACAGTAAGAAAGAGAAACAATGACTAGCTCCCTATTGCAGCCCAATAGTAACAATAACCATGCAAAAGACACCACTTTTTTAGAATGTATTACATGTTATAATATCTATTTTATAATACGCGATCCAAATAGGTCCTGCCTCCTCAACCCAACCGGAGACGCAGGTTAAACTCACCACTAGGCCTCACTTTCAAATGACAGCGGCCCTTTGGTCTTCTGGGGCGGTCGTATTTCTACGTAAGTACCTAAATCCCTTTGCTCCTCCACATCTACTGATCTCTCACCTCGGAGAAATATTGCAACGTTGGCTCAATTCAAAGTGGGTGAAGCAACACTATAACAGCCATTTCCAACTTCTCCCCTTACCCGTTCTCTAACAATCGCCCAGACACAACCCAAGGGAAGGTCTCCAAGCAGTGGGAGAAAAGGTCACACAGGAGTAGTCCGACTCACTCCTTCTGGACATTGCTGGGAATGGTAGGCTTGAGTTACAGGGAGAGGCTGGGATTGTTTACACTGGAGTGTAGGAGATTCAGTGGTGAGCTTATTGAGGTTTATAAAATCATGAGGGGTATACATAAGGTGAATGGCAGGTGTCTTTTCCCTACGGTGGGGGATTACAAGACTAGCGGGCATATTTTTAAGGTGAGAGGAGAAAGATTTCAGAAAGACATGAGGGGCAACTTTTTGTTTTTAAAAACACAGACAGTGGTTCGTATGTGGAATGAACTTCCAAAGGACATGGTGGATGTGGGTACAATTACAACACTTCAAATTCATTTAGATAAATACATGAATAAGATAGGCTTGGAGGGAAATGGGCAAAGTGCAGGCAGGTGAGACTAGTTTATTTTGGGATTGTGGCCATCAAGGACTGGTTGGACCGAAGGGTCTGTTTACATGCTGTATGACTCTAGGACTTTAAGAGTGACAATGAGAGTTCTAGGAACAAACTGCTCACCCAAAAAGGAGGTAGACTGGCCGCTGTCTGTTAATACTGATTAGAATGTACTGACGTATTGCTAATCTTGGAAAATGTTACACACAATGATAGATAACCGAACAAGTTAAACTGTAAGAAAACGTGCATTTCAAACTTTTTTAAAAACTCTTTGAACTACTGTTTCTACTATTAACATACTTACAACTGCCAAATGCTTGACTTTTTCTTCTCCTGGATCGATGGGTATTCTCGAGAAGCTCTAACAAATATTAAAAATAAAACAGTAAATGGCACATTAAGCATACATTGTCCCAAATGGTCAACTTGCTTAAAATCACAAGATCTGTCAAGTATGTTGGATTGTTGCCGATTTGGTGAAAATCCGTCCTCCAAATGTCCTGGTAAACTTTTGAAATCATCAAATCCAGCAAAAATATAGCAGTGTCAGGTTTCCTTCCCAAGACAGCTCAGTGTGTCAAACTGAACTGTTGCATCAGTCCAAACTGACAAGGCAACTTTTGGCATCACATCACTACATTTGTGACTTATGTAGAAAAAAACTGTAAGACATCAAACTGTTTTAGACATCTTCTGGATTAAACAAGGTTTTACAAAGAAGAAATGAACTGATGTGGTTTCTTGAAAATTAGATCAGTAGTTTAATGTGGGCTGTGATCTGCTTATTACAGACATTCAAGCCACTTTGGAAAAGTAGCCAAGCAAAGCTTTTAGGGAGATAAGAGATGGAGTGTATTGCTCTTAATTGCTGGAAACCCTGGCTTTGGAAGAGACCACGGGGGTCCATGTGCTGATAGTTGTCTAGTATCTCTTTGTTTTGGTTTCTGTTTCAAAAATGTTTTTGGCAGCTCTAAAGGAAGAAAATCACCAAAAACTTACAGGAGTGCATGCGGGTGAGGGCGCGCAAGCATGTGTGTGCACACATTTGTACATTTTGGAGAATTAAAGTTCTTTAATCCTTCTCTATAGTTCATTTCTTTACAGATGAAATATGTCTCATTGTGTTTCTGTGCATTCTCTCCAATGACTGCCTATGTTGGAATTTCAAATTAGCTTAATATTCTACCTACGGTGTGCATTTATTCTGCAACATTCAACATAGTGATTTTAAAAATGTTCAATTACTTCCCAGTTGAAATACCCTTTCCTAGTTAATTTCTCCCAGACCTGGCCTTAGCACTTTCCAATTTTCCTTTTTAAAGTGGATGTGACTAAGTTGGTCACTAAATTATTAGTTCTAATACAAAGGTTCCATTGTTTCTAAATTGTGTTTTAACTAATTCTAGATCTCGATGTAAATAGAAGCATGTAGAATCCATTACATATTAGGCCAGATGGAATAATGCTTGGTAAGAGATCTCAAATTAATGTGCACACAATTTCTTTTTAAGAACGCCCGAGGAAAAAGGAAGCCTTTTGGGGATGGAAGTGGTCTGTGTCAGTAACCCAGGATGGGCTCGTAGCAAATCCACAGCTCATTTCATATCTCACAACAGCTTCTTTCACATCGGGGTGGAACTGGCTGTCACTAGCACCACTTCGTCCAATTGAAAAACACCAATTTCACTCCCAACTCGTCTATCAAGTCACCACATCAGTTTTACATGCTGGGAAACAATCGCCACTGAAATATAATAAGAAACCGCCTAAATGTCAAGATTATTAACACACCATGCACATTAGGGATTAACATTCGGCAAGATCTGGCCATGTATCAGTTATAGTTGGACATGCATCACACCATTGAACCCATCACTGGTCAAGGGAAAAAGACAGAAGTGGAAATAAAGCCACCACAGAGACTCTGCACAATACACGTCTTCCCCCACCTGATCATCTCAGTCCACCTGACAGCCTCCTGCAGCTCCATCAGCCTCTCCTTGTACTGATTGCGCTCCATCAGCACCCTCGCCATCTCCACTCGGGTGAAACGCCGCCTCTGTGCCACCTGCACATCATCCTGTAGGTTAAGGAAGCATTGCTTCACCAGAACAGATTAAAAAAACCAGTGCTCTTATATACTTTATTACAGCAGCAAAGTAAAGTGAATTCAGCAGAACATGCAGCAACTTCCTCCAGACTGGAAACCATGTTATAAACATGAAACAGAAGAAGAAAACGGAAGAGGGTGCAGTGTAAGTGCAGAATATTTTTGGTCTGGTTATTCTGTTACCTTGCCCTGATGTTCTATTTCTCCTTGTGTCGCTGGAAAGAAATAACAGGCAACGTCTCCAAACCACACCCCTCTAACCAAATGCTGAAAGCTACGCTGAAACGGCCCAGAGCGCATGTGTTAGTTTGCCAGGATCGACTCATTTTCTGATGTTCACCTGATCCCCGTGGGCCTTCATTGAAGCAGCAGCACCCTCCCCCCTCCCCACCCCAAAGGGAGCAGAGTTGTTTTTCTCCATTTCCAGCATTCACATCGTCATTCTCACCTTCGGGCGTTCTGCTTTCAGACTTGAGAGCAGCCTGTCTGTGACTCGCACAACAACATCACACACAGGACAGCTGAGCTGGCAACTACGTGGCCCTAGCCAAAATTGATTCATTTTTACTGATATTTATTTAAAATTATTCAGGAATCGATCAAATTCTTGGACACAGGTGGAGGCGAGAAGAACAGCAGAATATAGTCAGGAGTCACACAACACCAGGTTATAGTCCAACAGGTTTATTCAACATCACAAGCTTTCGGAGAGCTGACGACTTCAAATAAACCTGTTGGACTATAGCCTGGTGTTTTGTGACTTCTGACCTTGTCCACCCCAGTCCCACACCAGCACCTCCACATCATTACAGAATATAGAACACAGCCAGAACGGAAAGGAAACAGTAACGTAAGCAGGACATGTGTAACACATCAGCCATTATAATTCAACTGTGTCTGCCCCATTTGACAATGGGCTGCTTTATTCAATATTAAGCTGTTAACACTTCAGTCCACCCATTGTCTTCAGTTTGGTGAAGCACGGCAATGGAACACATTTGCTTGCAACTGTATCTCAAAAGGTTCTTCAGTTTCTGATCCACATCTTTGTGATTTAAGAGGAAAACAGGAACAGGAGTAGGCCATTCATTCACTCAAGCCTGTTCCAGCATGGCTCATCTGTAGCCTAACGCCATATATCTTAACACCTTTGCTTAGCAAAAATCTATCTTTCTCCAATTTAAAATTAACTACCGATCCAGCATCCACTGCTATTTGTGGAAGAGAGTTCCAAACCTCTCCCACCCTTTTGTGTGTAGAAGTGCTTCCCAGCATCTCTCCTGAATGGTCTGGCCCGAATTCTCAGAGCATGCCTCAAGTTCAAGAATCCCATACCATTGGAAATAAAGTATCATTATCTACCCTGTTAATATCATGAAGAGTTTAATCCGATTGCTCTTAACATGCTAAATTCTAGAAAAAAAACCGGCCTAATTTGTATAATTTCTGTGCTCTGTACAATATCTCAACGCACTGTCCGTGGCTGTATCTAACAACTGTTTCATATCATTATAAATCAGACTGAACCTTGGTTTAAAATGTTGGCTGAGCATGATTAGTGACAACACTCCACTCATCTTATCTTCCTCCCAGAGAGGTGGGTGAAATTGGTAAGAGAGACATGTATTCACCAGCCCTAAATGCTCTGAAAAAGACGATGGAGTTCTTCCTTCTTCATCATTACCGTCAATGTGGTGACGATGCCCTGCAATGTTGCAAAGTTTATTTGACACAGCAGACTGGCTAGCTACACTGTTTAAGAGGGCATAAAATTACCACAGAATTCTGTGGCAAGAACTCACCTCCTGAACATCCTAAAGCTGCCCACAGGCACAAGTCAAGAGTGGGATGGAATGTTCCCCACTTGCCTGCAGCTCTAATACTTAAAAAGCTCAAGCATCCAGGACAAAACAGACCCCATCCACCACTCTCAACTTTCACTTTCCCCACCAGTAATACAAAGGCAGCAGAATGCACCATCTGTAAGATGCACTACAGAAACTCACCAAAGACTCCTTTGACAGAACCCTCTAAAACCGCGACCTTTGCCATCTAGAAGGACAGGAGCAACAGATACATGGGGACAGCACCACCACCTCCAAGCTACTCACCATCCTGATTTGGAAATACATCCCCATTCCTTGAGTGGGTCAAAATCTTGGACACCCTCCCTAACAGCGCTGTGGGTGTCCCTATACTACACACACTGCAGCAGTTCAAGAAGACAGCACATCACCACCTTCTGAAGGCAGTGAACACAACTTTGCAGTAATGAAGGGGCTAAACAAAGTGAAACAGAAAGAACTGAGGCTGCTGCAAATCAGAAACAAAGACAGAAGTTGCTGGAAAAGTCAGCAGGTCTGGCAACTTTCGGGTCCAGTCAGAGGAAGGGTCACTGGACCTGAAACGTTAACTGATTTCTCCTCACAGATACTGCCAGACCTGCTGAGCTTTTCCAGGAACTTCTGTTTTCGTTTGGGCTAAACAAGGAGCTACTCAAGGGAACAATTACAAACGTACTTTTCCGGTGAGTTATAGTCCATTATTCAGATCCAGGAATCTAGTCACCATTGTTCCTCACAAGGCTGGAAGACGAGTTAAGAAAACAAATCGCTGGACTATCCAATTACAACATGACTATTTTTCTCAAACGTTGGCCACATTTGCTGTGGAAGTGAAATGCTTTGGTGACCTTCTCCCTTTTGGTCACCCAACAGAGCTTACTGTTTCGGAATTCATCTTGCTATTGTGACTAACTAGGAATAGCAAACAAATTTGAGTTGCAGTAGGAGATGTGGGAGGTGGATAACTCTTGTATATCCAAACAGGTTGCATCCAAACTGGGACCGAGTTTAACAAAAGGCAATATGCACAGCGATCGATACAGACTCGCTGCGGGGGGGAAACCAGGAGGACTGCAGGTGCCACACTGACTTGGTTGGACCAGAGATTTGCTACGTTAAGGGTATTCAAACTGCAGTCATTTAACTTTGTGCACTGCATTTAAAAATGCACTTTCCTGGCTAATGAACATGCCCACTCGTCTGTAACTGATATTTTATATTGTACTGTTGGGACCAATGAACCACCTCCATTACGCTGCTGAAACAACCATTGAAAATCTCGCACACAGCATCGAAAACTTACGCTTACTTCCTCCAGTTCCTCTCTGCCTTCCTTGTTATTCAGGGCCACGATAGCTTCTGACTTAACCCTAGAAGACACAAAAGTTAATTGGAGATGGAGACTGGTATTCTTCTAGTTTCATCAGATGAGCCGGAGAGCAAAGCTCAGTGGGGAAAGAAGACTTCTCCCCACGTTCATGGCGTTGAATCATTTTTAAGTACTTCACAACCGTGGCTTGCAATTAGTATTAGGAATGGAAAAGTCTCAGTTTTTGCAAAGTTTGATTATTCCAGGAATTTAAACTATCCTACATACTCCTCTTGCTTTTCCAACATTTGCTGCAGCAAGAAACAAGAGCTAGCGTGAAGTTTTAAATCTAAGAGAGGAAGCAAAAACCAATATATATTTATATCACAATATTTTGAGCAACATTTTGAGGATTTTTTTTTAAAGAAAGGGTTTTTAAACATACTTTAATTGCAGTGAAGGAGAAGAGGTGTTCCTCTTCACCCACAAAGAAAAAAGGGGGCATAATTTTAAGGTGACTGGAGGAAGGTACAGAGGAGATGTCAGAAGGTTCTTCACACAGAGAGTGGTGGGTGCGTGGAATGCACTGCCAGCGGTGGTAGTGGAGTCGGACATTTGAGACTATTAAGCGACTCTTGGATAGGCACGTGGATGATAGTATAATGTAGGGCATGCAGGGTAGATTGATCTTGGTAGGATAATACATCGGCACAACATCATGGGCCGAAGGGCCTGTACTTTGCTGTACTGTTCCATGTTCCATGATCCTTAAGAGGTAAAATATTTTCAATAAGCCTTTAGTCAATGTCACCTAAGCATACTACAGCAATGTGAATGGGGCAGACAGAGTCTCGTTTTCACAGTGCATCCAAAACGAAAGCATCACCACGAGTCCCCGCGGTGCCAGCTTCAGTCTCTCAAGTGAGACACAAACCATCTAAACGCATGCTGTCATTTCAGTCCAAGTTTTACAAGACAACCTTTCTGTATTTCTGTTGAAATATGTGGTTTTTGTTCTTTTTATTTACATTGATCACCAATTTTGGACATAGCAAATGGCTGTTAATAACAGGAAAAAGGAAGGTGCAATTTCTTTCACAGTACACTTTGAAGACAGGGCTGAATTTTTTTTAGGAGACTAACTGGAAAGAACAGATAAATTTTACAGGGGTCTGAGTGAAGGCGGCTATTCCAACAATTGTAACAAAATCAGATGAGAGGTCTGGTAAGCTCTCTGTGTTGGGAGTGTCTTGCTCCATTTTTTATGCATTTACTGAGTAGCAAGGAGAGTTTTTCACTAGACAGCCACAAGTTGCAAATTAAGAGGGACTGTTGTTTATTCAGAGATATTAAGAACTGCAGATGCTGGAGTCAGAGATATCACAGTGTGGAGTTGGAGGAACACAGCAGGCCAAGCAGCATCAGAGGAGCAGGAAAGCTGACGTTTCAGGCCTAGACCCTTCTTCAGAAATGGGGGAGGGGAAGGGGATTCTGAAATAAAAAGGAAGGGTGGGGGGGGAGAGGCGGATAGAAGATGGATAAAGGAGAATATAGGTGGAGAGGAGACAGACAGGTCAAAGAGGCAGGGGACCTAACCCTAACCCTATTGCAAGCTTCAAAATCTCCCCTCCCCCAACCGCATCCCAAAACCAGCCCAGCTCGTCCTCGCCTCCCTAAGCTGTCCTTCCTCCCACCTATCCCCTCCTCCCACCTCAAGCCCCATCCCCATCTCCTACCTACTAGCCTCATCCCGCCCCCTTGACCTGTCCATCCTCCCTGGACTGACCTATCTCCTCCCTAACTCCCCACCTACACTCGCCTTTACTGGCTCCACCCCCGCCTCTTTGACCGGTCTGTCTGATACTGCTTGGCCTACTGTGTTCATCCAGCTCTACACCTTGTTATCCCAACCCAAAATGTCAGCTTTCCTGCTCCTCTGATGCTGCCTGGCCTGCTGTGTTCCTCCAGCTCTACACTGTGTTATCTCTGTTGTTTGTTAAATGCCTTATTAAATCCACAAACTCATCTCATTGAAGATTCAGCTTCCTATCAAAGATGTGGAGGTGCCGGTGTTGGACTGGTGGACAAGGTCAGAAATCACATGACACCAGGTTATAGTCCAACAGACTTATTTGAAAACACAAGCTTTCAGAGTCTTACTCCTTCTACAGGTGTTAGTGAGAGAGGTAGTATCAGACACAGAATTTAAGTAAAAGATCAAAGGTTCACACCATCGAGGAGGATGTACTAAACAAGCCTAAGATGCTGTTAAATCTTTAATCATATACATCAATTAAAACCTTCTCACTGATTAAAGATTTAACAGCATCTTAGGCTTGTTTAGTACATCCTCATCAATTGTATGAACCTTTGATCTTTTACTTATAAATTCTATGTCTGATACTACCTCTCTCACTAACACCTGAAGAAGGACTGAGCCTCCGAAAGCTTGCGTTTTCAAATAAAACTGTAGGACTATAACCTGGTGTCATGGGATTTCTGACCTTATCTTATCAAATGCACCAAATGAGGTTAACGTTGAGAAAACTCAACATGGAGATTGAGGCAGAAACCCAGCAACTTCAGCTCACTGCTGACTGTGACCAATCTTCATGTTGAAAGCTAGGTGCCGATATCTCTGGGCACACTCCGTGGGCAACGGCTACACACTCCACAACCACAAATACGGTCATCTGTAACGTTCCAGCCTCTGTGAACCCTCACGGCTCATCTCTGATTCACTTGCAGGAAGCTTCTGTCCTTCAATGCCGCACGTCGGGTTGACTCGGTAACCCTCACTGTAACACTGCAGCAAAGACACTGTGCGCTCAGGGACATACACCCAGCTCATCGACTGGGCCAGACTATATCTCTGGGATCCTCATACTCTGTCACTGCACTTACTCACCCTGAGCCTATTTGGATGTTCACAGCATTCCTGCCTTGTCTTGCCTTGCTGTGCTTCCCCCCGCCATCAGCGAGAGATACCAGGCACACTGTACGACTGGACTACCGTTTTCTGCTTAACACAGGCAAATCCAGGAAGCTTGTCAGAATTGTCAGCTGTCAAAGGGCGTAGCCTTTGTTCAAGGGGTCCTGGCACAGAAAGTTGAGGACAGCCTTGGGCAAGGTGTGGGTCAGGATCAGGACGCTCCCTACGAGGGTCAAGGAGCTGAATATCGGGCACCCCACGATCCAGATTCTATCTGCCCTATTGGGGGCTGTTTACCTCCAGGAAGGAGAGAGGTAGGTGGTAAGGGATATGAAGTGGGTGGGCACATTTGTAACAAATTTTTGTGCAGAGGCCAGAGTGACTGACTGGGCAGCGGAGAGGGCGTGCAGGGTTAGCAGCATCTGGGTTGGAGTGGGTGAGGGTGTATAGGGAGGACGAGCCTTGGGAGGTGGGTACAGTAGCAGAGATAGAGCGAGTGAGAGACATGGGAGAAAAGATAGCAGCGTTTAAACTGGCAGAGTGGAGAAGGACATTGACATTCTTCCTACAACGCTGGGCATTCCTCCAACCTTGGACCAGGCTGGTAACTCCTGGTGTCATGGCCTCTCCTGTTGGTCCTGGGGTAAAAGGAAGTCCCATGGGCTTCTAAAGAAGCTGCAGGCGCAAAGGATGCTGGTCTTCCCGCAGATATCTGCGGAGTGGCAAGATGTTTCTGGAAGGGCGCACGGTAAGTCAGGGTTAGAATTGGACATGGGAGACAAAAGCCGGGCACACATTTAACAAGGTGCGTTTGTTAAGATACAGTGGGAAATTTCATGGCAAGAAGCCATGCATAACTTCACACTTGGCCAAAGCAGCTACAACTGAGGCCAATGAGAGGTAAGGTATGACACGAGGAGCAATGAGTGCAATATCCTAGCTCTACCCACTGATAACTGTAGACATCCACACTTTTAGATTGAGATTTCCCATCATCTAGTTCAAATAAGAGCTTTCAACCGACAGCATGCCCCACATACCAAGCAGAATTGTCTACAATAAGGGAAAGGTCCAAAAACAGATGACAACACACTATCTCACCTCTTCAGTTCTTCCTCCAGTTCCTTCATTCGGTTCTCAACCTTGGTTTTGGCTTGCTTGACTGTCTCCAGCTCTCCTTTCAGCACCTCTTGCTCACTCGACAGCTCATCCACCTTCGCGATCAGGTCATCCTTCACTATGTTCAGAGCATTCCTATAAATGCAAAGAAGATCTTCAAGTTACACCACGTTCAATTAACAAATGAACTGAACATCAAAAATTCTCATTTAAATGCAGATCGAAGACTAGCCAGAAAATCTCTCTTTGGGAGGAAGAAATGACATTGATTAGTCTCTTTGTTCGGTTATGACTGTGTTTGAGAAAGGCTTATAGTACAGATCAATCGTAAGAATAAGGGTAAGACGTGTGTAGAAACAGTGACCATTGGGTGGCATAGCCGTTTCTCGCAGGCCTGCTGTTAAACTAACCATGACATGGGGCTCAGAGGGATAGAGAGCAAGACCCTCTTTGCTGGAGCCTTATGCAGCACATTCTAACATCACTTTTAGGGAAGAGATCAGCTACACTCATGCATTCAGTCTTGTGCCTGAATCAATGTGGCCCCCACTCTCACTATCTCGACCTGACATGTCTTAATCCCCAGCCTCAGCAAGTGTGTTAAACAGAGCTGGCTGCCTTTTAGTCTTTCTGATTTCCGAACTTTCAGATGCTACCAGATCTGCTGAGCTTTTCCAGCCATTTGTTTTCGTTGCTGAATTTTCAGCTCCTTCTTTCTCACACTATCCTCTAATTCCATCCCTTTAAAAGATTGACAATGGTCCTGTCCTACTTGGGAGATCAATCCTGAATCCATCTGGGTCTCAACTGGATTTGTTAATAACTAAGTAACCAAATTTTGAAGTCTGGGCTCTTGAGGTACAGTCCCTACCTCTGAACCTGGAGATTCAAGTCTCACCTGCTCCAGAGGGCTGCCTTATCATGCCTGAATAGATCGACTAGAAAATATCTGAACTTCAAAAGTATGAGTGCTAATTGCACCAAATGTTAACCTGCTGTTAAAGCAGTGCGAACAATTTAGAATGGATTTGCACTTCCCACCGAAAAAGGAGCCCAAACGGTCTGATTGTTGTAAAGAAAAGCTTAGGTAATGAGCTTGGAGAAAAATATGAATGGGTAAAAATTCAGATGAACTCCGTTCAAAGCACACAATCTGTGCCAGCCGATGATCAACACTCTCAGGATTCCTGTGTCTGCCAACTGTTAAAGTAAAATCTGCCTTCGGTTCTAACAACATGTTCTGGCAAAGTGAAATCCAAATTATCCAGTTTATTTGTAACCATAAGAACGTAAACATGTTACGTTCAGAGAACGTTCATAAACCTAACACCCAGAACGAGTAGGTAGCCTTATGTTTCAAAGTCACGTAGAATAGCCGTGAATTGGATGGCAGGAAGCTAGAATGTGTTTGTAAAAGTAAAATGGGGGAAAAGCATTGCATTGTCCTTTCAAAAGATGGAGTGTTTTTTCAGTGCTTAGAGTTTAAATGGATGTCTGACCAGCAGTTTGATGTGCAAATGCGAACGGAAACATTTTGTATTTAACAGCAGCATTTTTATCAAGACAAAAAGTCTTTTCAAATTTAGCCAATCAATTTAAACCAAGCCCTTACATACTAAAAATCTATCAAAATTACCTGGAAGCAATCATATTATAAGAATTTGATGAGTCATAGGGAATATACAAGAAAGGTCTTTTTTTTGAAGATCAGAGTAGAGCCAACTGCCAAGAGATAACATCTTTTTCACTCTCAGAGAAAGCAACATCTAATTAAAATGGTACCAAGGATTTCTAGCTAAAAGTCCTCACGGAAGCAATTATAGAGAAAAACATCCCTGACAGCAGAATCAGTGGCAGAAAGACATTTGTGACGCGAGATTGACAGAAGAAATGCTGGAGAAAGCAGTGTGTTCCAGAAGATTGTGTGAACTTGGAAAGATTAAGTTTTAATTTATTGTTGTCTTACTAATTGGGTTTATATAAGTGGGACTTGTGTTTATTTGAACAGCATTCCAGTAGAATTTAGTTCAGTTACGGAATAGTTAGTAGTCGAAGGGGAAATTGTTTGGTTTGTTAGTAATTCTGTTTATTTGTTCATTGTTAGAGTTAAATAAATAATTTGTTACTTGTAAAGTGGCAATCAGGGATTTTCTTCTTTTTAACCACTCTTAACAGATTACAAAGGGAAAGGCGAGATTCTCTGGGTGTTTCAGGGGAAACTTTTAGAGGGGAACCTCTTCTCCCATCATAACAGATTGGGGCTTGTGTTTTGGTTTAAATATCAGAGGAGTTTGGCCATTCCCCCTCCGTAACACTTATGAGGAAAGGTCGGACAGGCTAGGCTTGCATCCACTGGAGTTTAGAACAGCAAGTTGCAATTTGATTAAAACATACAAGACGCTGAGCAGTTCGTAGCATGACAATGCTGTGCCTTTAAGGAGGTGATTTTGACCTTTCTTTTTGAAGGGAGGTTGTAAGGCAAAGGCGCTCAGCAGTCTACCAAGATCACTTGAGTAAACAGCTTGGGAGGCCTTGGGTTTTTTTTAAAGCAAGCAGCCTGAATGGGTGTGGCCAGCTCTCCAATTCAGATTTCTGAGTTTTGGTTTTTTCAGTAGCTATTGGGGTCTCAACAGAGTTGGAGACTTCAGTGAATGTCTCCTGGCTGTTACTCTCTCTGAATTTCCTCTTGATGTATTCTTCCTCCTGGATTGGAGAACTGCATGTGAGAATCTGCGTCTAAATTTTCCTTTTTGCCAAGCGGTATGTTTATGGTATGTTACTATGTTGGGAACAGTTAATTAGTAATTGTTACTATATCTGTTATTCTGTTAAGTATTCCTCTAAAGATATTTGTAGTTCCTTTCTCTTTGGTTGTATTTTTAACTACAGTGTTTAAATAAACTGTGTTTTGCTTAACACCAAGTAGTTTGACCAGTCGTATCGGGAACAGGCACTTCACATTTGCCTTTAAAAATGAGAAAAAAAGTTAGGGTCTAGGCTACCTTCTTAAAATACTGAGGGGGTCTTCTCTGATCCATGACAGTAGAGATGAAGTGGACGTTTCTTTTTATGAGCAAAGGTAGAGCTAGGTATCACTGTTTAAATATCAGAGGTCACCCAGTTTAAATAGAAATGAGGCAACAACTTCTTTCACATTGGTGCCAATGAAATATGTATCCTTTAAATTAATTTAAAGCATAGAGCTGTCAAGTGTTCAGAAGTGTTCCCATACTCTCCCAACTCTTTTTTCATGGTCATTGGATGATATGAATATTATCAAAGCGACAAAATGGATGTAGCAATGGGCACTGATTTACGACATAGTTTAGTAAAGCAAACAGAACAGTCCCTTCCTTCAATATCGAACAGAGGGATTGTAAAGTTTGCAGATATTGATTGTCTGCGCTGTGATTCTACTTACGGTTCAATTTATTTATTTGGCAGTTTAACTTGTATAATGAAGTGTCCATTCTGCCACACTTAAAAATTCAACAAAGTTTAATTCAGGTTAGGTGATATAACCGAGCCGTCACTAGGATTTTCTATGGCATTCTTGGGCTCTTGCAATACCAGACAGGAAAAGGCACATTCCAGATGACGGGAGAAGGGACACAGGTATCAAAGACGGCTTAGTCAGTCAGTCAACAAAGTTATTCAGAGTGCAAACCGAAAAACCCGACCTGGTGCATCACAAGAATACGTACAACTATAATCACAAGAGTGTAAACGTAGGGCTCTGGTGGCACAGTGGTAGTGCCCCTGCCTCTGAGCCACGAGGCCTGGGTTCAAGTCCAAACTGTCCCAGAGGTGCGTAATAACATCTGTGAACAAGCTGACTGGAAAATATCTAAGGCTGTGTACATTGGTTGCATAGCATAAGGATAGATATTATTGATCACATCACAGGAATGATGCTCCAACAAATCAGCACTCAATGAGAACATGACAAAGATGTATACAAGCATCTGTGGTTACACTACGCAAATTTGTGACAGCAGTTGGCATATTATGAGAATCTCTCTCGGTTTTGGTAAGTTCATGCAGTAAATGTAAAATGTTTTCCTTACTTCGTTTCCAAAAGCTGAGTGTTCTCCATGATAAGATTTTCGACTTCCTTTCCCATTCCTGGAAGAGGCGTAAATGGGTTTTCATTCAAAATGTGTATTGAGGTTCTTTAATATTAAAGCACACAGCATACAGATACAGACATGGATACTTACACGCACACGTACACGTACACAGAAATAAATAAAAACAGAAATGGATATTTCATTCAACACTTTGTCTACCTAGTCATTGCTGAACCATACTTTGCAGGAGAAAGTTATGATAACGTGAAATTCCTCATCATATTCCAGGGCAAACATTCACTCACACGAGAGCGGTGGTGCAAAAGCATGAGTGGAACATACAGACCTCCAACCACAGATGATTTGTTGAAAGCACATGCAAGCCAGTGATTCCAGCAGCTTCTTTGTAATATATTATTTCATGGGATTCTGGCAGTCATTTAACCAGCTGCTCAATTGCGACATTTCACAAATAACTTGACTGGTTTTAGATTTTGCTGTGTAAAGAACAGCGAGGAAGAAAAATGCCTCCAATGTAATCAGTTTTCGTTTTTCAAAATGTGACTCCCCATCCACCTGCAGTGTTTAAAGATTCAACCAGCCAATCTCACACCGAGGAAGTGCTGGCTGAGAGTCGGTCTGGAAACTACACCTCCCCCCACCCACCCAAGTCAGGATTTTTCCTTTTTGTCGCTTTTCCTTCTAATGAGAGGAGGCTCCCACGGTGATGGGATTCCAAGGATAGTAGCCGTCTTCCAGGACACACCCAAATGGTGGTTCCTCATACTTGCCCTCACATATAAAAGGGCCAGAGGTTAACCCAGCAACAACGAGAACCTCTATTTTTACACTGCCTTTGTTGTAAAAAAAAATGTTACAAATCAAAGTACAGAAAAGTAGATCAGAAACGGGCAGGGCAAACTCAGAAATCACAAATGGAGCAGAAGCTTGGTTGGGAAAACAGGTTATGAGATTTCTGAAACAGAAAAGAGACTTAAAGAGACAGAGAAATGTAATGAAGAAACCTCAGAGTAGGATCCTGGGTAGTGAAAGTTCTGGGGCAAGGTCAGAGGACAATGTACAAAAGACCAGAGTCAGATGAGTTCCAGAGGTTATAATGGTGCTTGGCTTTTTTTTAATCCTCCCACCTTGTGTTATTGCCTGCAACAAGGTGCTGTAGCATTAGAAAATCAAAGGGAAAAATCAGACAAGGTGGTCTCGGATTCGATTCACACATTGATAGAACCACACTTAGTTTTACTGCTCTCAAACCAGAGAGTGTCAGTGAGTGCCCTTTCACCACTCCAATCTAAGGAAAAGCCAATGTCCACCCAACTCTGTTCTTTGTGGAGAGCACCCATCTGCAAAGACCCTTCACTCTTCATAACTCAAAATTAACCCTCAACCCCATCCAAAGCTAAACCAGAAACTAAGTCTCTGATGCTGAAGGCCAGAAATTAACACCTGTCCTGTGCCAACATTGCTTTATATTATAAAGAATAGGGAATAACAGTTTGACTATAACTAGATCCTTTCACACTGATTGACAGATAGATACTGGCCAGGATACACCTTTTCTGATGAAGGGTCTAGGCCCGAAACGTCAGCCTCTCTGCTCCTATGATGCTGCTTGGCCTGCTGTGTTCATCCAGCCCTGCACCTTGTTGTCTCGGATTCTCCAGCATCTGCAGTTCCTACTATCTCTAACCCAGGATACACCCTTACTGTTTTTCAAATTTTGGCAGGGATCGTTCACACCCACCTGAACAGTTAACTGTGGGGCTCTGGTTTCACTTCTCACCACAAAGACAGCACTTCCAATAATGCAGCACACCCTGGGGTTTCAAACTCAGCACCTTGCGGCTCAGAGCCAAGAGTGCTACCCACTGAGCTACTGCTGACATTGCTGGAGCAACCTCACACTGAGTAACATTTATTGAGTAAAACAACAAAAGCAGTCGACCTGGAAACCAAAACTATGCCAGGGCAGGTAGCTGGCTTTATTACACAAGACTTTTCTTGCATTTTCAATAGAAACAAGTGCTTGAACCAAAAGAAAATCAATGTTCTATGAAGGTGAGAATTGGTGTGATTTATCAACAGAACGTGCAACAAGTTGGACCAGGAAATCAGAAAACTTAATGTTTGTGAGATTCGGACACTACCTCAGATTCGTCAATAACTGAAATCAACGCAATTCTTGGACATTTTGCAAGGCTCTAGCACTTCTGGATGATGTTAACTTGTTTATTAAAGTGACATTCCCATCCAATCCGCTATAAATCTCAAGCTTGTTCACATATCATTCCATCCCATCTGTACTGAGCTACCATATTACTTTAACCAACCTCCACACCCTGTTTCAGGTCTGTATTGTTTCATAATCAGCCATTGGAGATATTTCTGTTCAGACAGGTTACAATACAGGTGGGACTTGAACCATGACCTTCTGGCTCAGAGACAGTGATTCTACCACTGAGCTACGACAGCCCTCTCAACAACTGTATTCACGCCTTTGACAATTCATTGACTTTCTTTAACGGCCACTCCCCGAACCCCCCAACCCGCCTCGCTAAATTGCTATTTTTTTGATCTCAAGTGAAGTTGTAGCCCTGAAACAGGCCTTTATTCAAAAATCAGTCTGTGCTTTTATTTGTTCTCCACGTGAGCAAAAAATTTTCTTCAGTAAGAGCCATGCAAATCTGGTTTTGTTCAATTCTTAATAGTAGCAATTTCATCCTGTTTCTCTAATCAAAACCATGGATATTCTTACGGATCCTCAGGAATTCCTTCATTGCTAAAGTTACCCCAAAATTTACTTTTGCCTCAAAAAAAAACTTATTTCTAGCTGAAGAATTAATAATACTCTATAAAGCTCAAATCTGATAAACCTCCAACTTCATGTACTTCCTGGTTCTTTTAGTTTAGAACAATTACTATGGTCAATGTTTCTAGAGACTTTGGTCTTTCTGAATGCAATATATTCCAGCCTACACTCTTCACATCCTCCCGCTCCACTGTGTTTGAATCAAAGGGATGATGTCCTGAGCTAGTATGGCTGGTATAAAAACAGAGTGCTGGAGAGACTCAGGTCTGACAGCACCCGTGCAGAGGCAGAAGCAGAGTTAATGCTTCAAATCCAGTGTGAATTCTTCTTAAGAACTGACAAAGGGGATTCGATTCCTGATTGAGCCGATTCTGTCTCACTCACTCCTCCTCCTCCTCCTCCCTCCTCCATCAACAGCTTAAAAATCATTTTCCAGCCCCTTTCAGTTCTGAAGGCATTAAACCCTCCAGCTCCACACTGTTATCTGAAATGTTAACTCTTGTTTTTCTCTTTTCCTTTCAGATTTCTAGTATCCGCAGTGTTTTTGTTATAGTATATAGATATTATATAGTACTGCTAGTCACAAACTTTCTCAGGACCTGCCAACAGCTCTACAAGATTCTGCCCAATTTCTCCACATCCCAACTAACGAGAAGGATTTTGTTGCCATTCCAATGGTTTTGGAGGGAGGGCGGCATGTAAAATCCAGCAGGGTGCACTGGTAGTGGCCCTTCCATTGCCTGTTTGTCAGATGGCTTGGGGGTGGACATTTTTTGTTTGTGGGTGGTCTCAGGCTGCCTGCTGACCCTTGAAGCCATTAAAGCTCTTTAAATCACCAATTAATGTTCACGCAAAGCCTTATCCCATCCCGACTGGTATTTTAAAAACCGAAAGAACTGCGGATGCTGCAAATCAGGAACAAAAACAGAAGTTGCTGGAAAAGCTCAGCAGGTCTGGCAGCATCTGTGTAGAAAAAGAAAAATCAGAGTTAACGTTTTGGGTCTGGTGACCCTTTCTCAGACCCGAAACGTTAGCAGATTTTTTTTCTTCACAGATGCTGCCAGACCGACTGGTATTTTACCTGCAGAGCGAGGTAAGGCCCAAGTCCTTGGGGGAAGCTCAGTAACTGCATCTGCGTGAGCTGGCATCTGACAAAAAGGGATGGGAACAGGACTTCTTTTGAGAGTGCCCAGAGGTCACATACACCTCCCCATTCCACCAGCCACATGCCCTCTTGAACCACTCCCCCAATCCCAACCCCTACCATGACCATGTCGGGATGTCCGACCCTGGACTCACCTAGGCCCCTCAACACAGTGGGGCAACCTGTAGCTGCTCCTGGCCAGCAATGCTGAGACTACAACGATGTTGTTCATCCAACCGGGCAGCGAGATAGGGGAAGAAGTCTCGCCTCTCAATGCAGCTCCCAGCTCCAGTGTGGGCAGCCAACACCCCAAACCACCATCCCCATCGACCCTACCCCTACTTATCAGTCAGGGAGCACACAGTTTGTAACATCCTGTAAAATCAGATTCATAGAAAAGACCACTGACTATTCACCTTAACTATGCCCCTCATGATTTTATAAACCTCCAGCCCCATGCTTTCATAGACTCCTTCAATCAATGATAATTCATAAATGGTTTACTCTTGATTATTCAAAAATCACTCAAATGAGTTCCAAATCTTGTCAAAATGTTTAATTGCCAGTGCGTAACTCAAATTAACAAATCATTTTAAGTTTTTTGGCATCATTTTTATTTCCTGTGGACAATGCTAGCAATTCTCTAGCACTGCCAATAATCAAGCGGAGAAATTTCCCCAGATAGAAAGCATTATCTGGTGGCAATTGAACAATAGATGGCAGCAGTTGGTTATTAAAGGGAGTCCACAACTGTACTACCCACATTTACTTCAAGCTCAAGACCTGCCACAGCAACTGCAAGCTGGAAGCACACAGACTGTGCATTAGGCTTCTTTACCAGGGAGTCAGAGATTATTGCTCATTTAAGAGTAGCCCACAAAAACTTGCAGCTGTCTGAACACCCCTTCTTCAAAAACCCCTGCCCTTCTGTTTTCCTCCCTTCCATCAATTGCACCTCTTCTTCAAACTTTGGATAATCTTGCCTAATAACTCCTCAGCTCCAAGACAGGGCTTGTGATTTGTTTTCCTTTCTCATGGCTACAAGAGACACAAAAACAAAGATTCATCAGGACCGGGAAGCAAGAACCAAACTTAGAAAGAGAACAACAATTTATACAGTCTTTCCTTTCC